CAGTTAGTGAGCATATCGTATTCTATTAGATGATGCAGGGACAACTGACTCTTCAATAGTGCTTCAGACAGGTGCGTAATTATTTTATGTATTTGCGCCTCTCCTCCGATTCTGAACCATATTCACTGGACTAGAACCCATTATGACTGTAGGTTTATATACCTTTCCACTGTATAATCGACTCTTATAATTTCGTCATCAGGTTCTCATCGCGTCCCCTGTACAGCTTTTCGTCGCCTGGCGTATTAAAGTAATCAGTGGATCATGGTGGATCGCCACGCTTATAGCTTTCTTTGTCGCTGCTTCTTTCGGTAAGGCCATAGACTCTATGAAAGCCGTACTTTCAGGCATTAATTAATTAATTATTCCTTTTTTAGCTGGAGGAATCGTTGGGACAATAGAAAGTGCAATCAAAACGGAGTATAGCCAAATACAAGAATTTAAAGGGGCGGTTATTACTTGGCTGATAGCCGCTGCTGCGGCAGATATTCTTATTACGGGGACTCTGGTCCACTATTTGGTAAGCTATATCGTTAGCAAACTGAGACCGTTGCTTAGATTTTTCTTTTAGCGTAAGCGTAAGACCGGGCATTCCTATACCGATGGTGTGGTCAACCGGATTATCCGTTGTAAGTTGGAGTCCTTCAAACTATTTATGTAATTGATTTAACAACTTGGAGTATCGTTCAGTAACGTTGCAAACTGGGGCTGTGACTGCTTTCTTCGCAACGGCCGATATTGTTTTATTCTTGGCCGTCCCAGTAAGTCACTATCGCAGCTTTGTTTCCATAGGTCTGGTTCCTTACGACCCTGATGTTGTTAGCATACCACACTGTGAGCTCCTAAAAGGCTCAGCATATCCAGCCATATATTAATATCACGCATCAGGAACTTCATTTGGGATTTCCCTCTGTGCAAAATCTACACCAATGCCTTACTTTCAACCTTGAATGCCCGGGCAGGATGGTCAAATTTAAATGGCCAGCCTCATCCCGAAAATGTTTTGTTCGGCCCGGGCGAAGAGGGCACCGGCAGAAGGACTAAGGTGACTACACTTATATCGTCTTTCGTGATTCTGAGAGCTAAATCATCTTTGTAGGATGCCTATCAGTACCGTCGTAGCATAGTTGTGCGTACCCTTTCCTTTAATATGCTCACGAGTGACCATAGTGACTAACCTTACTTGCTCTACAGTATAATCCACAAATTATCGAGCTTAGCATTCCAAAGAATAGGCCACGACAGGAGACGATCGCCGATGATTTCATTAGTATCAGCCAGAGACATTCTAACTTGGAGGCAGGTGGAATATCTGAGACAGTATCTGTGACTCTAAAAGAGATTGAGGCTGCATTTCACCGAGAGTCCGTTTAATTTCAAGTTCGAAATACTTCTCAGAGGTCCCAGGAGAAGGCTAGATTGCTTAATTTGTTTCGCCTTGATATCTGTATGACGACGGAAACTGTCCAGACCCAATAAATCCTCTGTATAATTGAAGCGTTACTATCCGTGGACAGGATCCCGCGCACTTTGACTAATTTTCTGCCGTACGCACAACCACAGGGTTTTTTGCTTCAATTATTTGCCTGTAAAATATAAACTCTATTATTAATAATATACCATAAAAAAAACTCGAGAATATGTTACAATTGGGCAGGATCGTAATGTGGATAGGATTCCGCTCACTTGCCGCTTCCGGAAGACCCAGGCATGCATGTCACATTCTGTCACACAAAGGGCGCCGCCATATATCTTGTTAAATAATGCTTTAATGCCTTGTAAATACACGTTATAAAATTATTAAATATGCTCTAGACATTCCTAAGCCTCGGATCGATATTATTCCAAAAGATTTCCTGGCCTTCAGCCTCCTCTTCGCTGTCTGTCCCGCCCTCTTCACTTCCACCCTCATCTCGCCCTAGCTCTTCGCCAGATGGGCTATGAATCCCATCCATGGTACTTCCTTCATTCCCCTCAATTCCTGGAATATTTTCGTGCCGTTTTCTGCCACGGGTACCAGGGAAAAGGGCAGAATACCGTGCATCATCACAGAGTTCTGGATGATAATTGAGATAAGTCGTTATTCTGTCCAAAATATGGTCCCGGGTGCCATCCAAAGGCAAACCAAAACATGCTGCAATGCCTTTGATATCTTCTTTGAGTGTATATTGGCCCAAAGTGCGATTGAAGGACATGGCTCCAAGATTGGCCTTCCAGGCTTGCTCCCTTGCAGCTAATGTATCAGCTTTCTCCTTACTCTTCTCTGCTTCAGCTCGCTTCTTGGCCTTCTCTGCATCATCCTTCGCTTTCCATGAGTCATATCCCTCCGGAGGAGTCAAGACAGTTGCAAATGTATTGGGAACTCGCTGGGTTTTCCTCCTCTTGGAATTAATTTGTTCTTGTAAAGTCTCAATTTCATTCTTGATAATGGTACAATGGGCATTTGCAGCATCAAGTTGACTGTATAGGCCTTCATTCTCAAGTTCCAATGAATATACCTGGGTTTGTAGCTTCTGATTCTCTTCATGGAGTGAATTAGGGGGCAGTGCAAATAATGTCCATCGTGCTGATGATGCACTGGACAATCCTGTTAATTGCATAGTAATGTTTTGATATTGGCCTCTAGTCCAAGGAGCACAAGGAGTCTCCATAGCAAAATGGGATTCAGTTATATCCATGTGATTTGGTGGAGGGGGAGAGGCTAAGCAAGTAGGGTGGGAATTCTCATGGCCATCTTCATCATCACTTTCTTCCGGAATATATTCAACATCAGAGGACAGATCTGAGGGTAAACCATCTGTCATACAGGCTGAAACAGGAGAAGAAACAACAGGTTCCGGGAATGAGACAGGCAGAATTTGTTTCTTTGCAAATGCCAGAGAGGGGGCATAATCCTTGTGTGAGTAAGCCTCACGATTGACAGGCCACATTCCAGCCTTCTGAAAGGCTGCAGAAATAGCTTTTGCAGAGACATGATTACTACGAATCTGTAAAAATGCATCAGTCTGGGAGGATTAAATAATATTGGGACTTCTGGTACCTCCATGTATCGTTCAACAACATTTTTATGAGTAACTGGATTATTCCTGATTGCTGAATCTTAACAGTGCTGAACCCATGCTCGCTGGAATGGTCCAAAAACTCCAACATCAAGTGGCTGAAGCTTGTGGGTAGTGTGTGGCGGGAGACGATAAAGAATGATGTTATTCCCAAATGCTAAGGCATGCATTTCACTTGTTTTGTGGGATTGATGACCATCCGAGGTTAATAAGATGGGCTTCCCACTCTTATTTCGACCCTGTACAAAAGGAATAAAAGTCTTTTCAAACCATTGGTGGCAGATATTGTTGTCAGTCCATCCATTTGTTGTTTGAGCAAATCTGATTGAAATTTGAGCACCAAATGTTTAAAATTTTATGAGCAACTTACCCTCCTAGACTGGAAACGGATATCCATTCACCAGTTTCCCCGACAGGCATAATAATGCAAGGAGGACATGCTGTTCCATCTGCACAGACAGCCTCAATAATTGTAACAAGAAGCATTGAGTCGCCCTTGAGAACATAGCGAGACTTGTCACCCTTGATGAAAATGCGCTTGATCATTGAAGCTTTCTTGCCGCTACCAATTTGAATCCCTTTCTTGTCCATATTGTAGATATTCTCGGGCGGAATTCTATATTGCTTGATGACATCAGTGAGAAGCGTGAAATGTGCATTGGCAGTAGTTGCATTGAATGCTCGGGCACGTTTTGGATCAAGAGGCCTTCCCTGTTTGAATTCAAATTCATCGGGATGTCTCTTGAAGAACCTGATAGCCCACTTTTGGCTTGGGACCTTGTTCTTCATTTCATAAACCCGTGTTTGGATATCCTTGGCAGACATAGCTTTCCCGTGGGCGGCACGTAATTCACACCATTCGACGAGGACAGCTTCTTCAGCCTGTGTGAGAAGCTTCTGGCTAGTGTGACCCTCACTTCGAGAACGCGCTCCATTGATGTGATCATGGAGGGTACTGGCTTTAATGTCAAAGGCCTTGGCTATCCTGCGAATTGAATCCTTTGTGCCGCTTCGAAATGCAGCAACTACCTTTGACAGGTGTGATTCCTGTGGTTCGATGTTCTCCTTGTCAGACACGGATGATGTGCTAATAATAGATTGTTGACGCATCTTTTTGGAAGCCCGTATGGTCCTAATACTGGAAGAATCAAGAGTAGCATTATCGGGAGCCTTCCTCTTGCGAAGAACACGCAGAGAGGGGAGCATTGGAGCCTCTAATTGACGCGTCAAGTCGCGTCGAGAGTATAGTGCAGATAGACACTGGTGGAGCTGAACTTCTGCCTGTCGCCAAAGTCAGTCAGCTTCAGCATTTCGTAGAAACACTCAGCTTTTTAGAATGCCTACAAAATCGATAGTAAATGTACCCTTATAATAATTCTGTGTCCAAAATTATAAAAATTCCAGTCCACACAGCATGGTTCCATCAACTGCCTCCCGGCATCTATAATATCTCCAGAGGAAACAGTCAATAATTTATTTAGGTATTTCTAGCCGTATTATGAGTCCTATTACGTTATTAAGAAACTTAGATATGTTATTAGGCCAAAAGAGTGTGTTCTCATGGAGTTTTGGCCCAGTGAGCGGGATCTAGCACTGCGCGGGATCCTGTCCACAGATAGTATTACGTTTAGTCACCTCTGCAATAAATCGTGACCACTCTTTGGCAGTTGTGGGTGCTGGGCAATGCGCGTAATAGGGGGAGATGAGCGCTATGCTTTAGACGATTGTCCCCACATGGCTAAAATTATAGCTAAGTATTTTTGAATTAGTTAGCATTTCATTTCTAAATAAATATTGAACGAGGAACATGAGAAAATATACTATAATGCACCCAGAAGAGTTAGACAATGAAGAAACCTTCGTTTGATGATCAAAGGGCGTAATGGTTGCTGTCGAAGATCCTTATATATTATCACACTGCAAAAAAAAAAAAAAACTTCTAGCTCTACATGGGGGTCGAACCCCCAATCTTGAGATTATAAGTTCGGATGAAATACCCAAGACTTAAGAGTCTCACGCTCTACTGATTGAACTAGCAAGGCACCATTGGTTGAGGCTGTTACCAGGTGTCCTGGTGGCCTGATGCATAAAAGCGATATAGATTTGTACAGAATTGGACTTCAGATATATTCTGGATATTTAAATTCTTTACAATCTGTTAAATCGTATCTTTGGTTCCAGTAACATTAAGCATGACTAGAACATTGATAGAGATCAATGGCTTGTTGGAATAAAAATAAGGAAACTCACTTGAAGCTGAACAGCTCCGGCTGAAGATTCACAAACACACACCTCTGCAGGTGTCATAACCTCAAACCTAGCCAGAGGGAACTTCCAATCAGTCGGAGCAAGAGTCTCGATAGAAGGCTTCCAATCATGAGCAAGACTATTCAATTTCTCAATCTTATCCTTTGCATTCTGCACAACCTCTTCAAGGACAGCAGACCTGTCTTCCTTCTCACATGCAGCAACAAACCCCTCTAAATCATACACCTTAAACAACTGTTCTCCTAACACCTTCACAGCAGCAGCCCCAAGCATCTTCCTATCTTCAATTCCTCGTATCTTCTCACATTCCTGAATCACCTTTTGATTAAATTGTACCCAAGTGAATTTGTTAGCCTCACAAGAAGTGACCCATACAAAAAGCCAAATGTGTAGTCAGAGCAGAAGGGATGCAGAAATGTTGTGGATAAATAGAGATGGCAAGTTTATTCCAAAGTTGAGGATTATTGCCATTGAATTCAGTGGTATATGCAGATTGGAATAACACTTTGGCATGGCAGATATTTTGTGGCCACAGGTTAATGTCAGGGTCTGCCATCTTGAAGAGGCAAAGGATAGCTTGAATGACATGGGCAGGGGTGAAAAATGGGAGAGAGATTGTGGTAGTGTTTTGAGAAGAATAGTATCTATATGATGATGATTCAGCTGCAATGTAGGCATAGTCTGTGGTCCAGGCGAGGTCTTTATCTTCTTGGTCTACAAAAGCTGGATGGATAAGTGCAGTGGTATTATAGAATAGAGATGGTTGTGTTTGGACAAGGGTGAGGAAATCTTCATGAGTTATTCTGGTGTCAAAGAGGAAAAGACAGTGAAGATTTGGGAGGTGTGTAAGGAGATCAATGAGGGTATCCACAGTAACATTAGGATTGTGTGATAGATTGAGTGATGTAATAGTTTGATGAGGAATGAGAATGTTGAGAAGTTGTTGTAAGATTAAGGCTGAAAAATTGGAAAGGTCAAGTGTATGATGAGGGTCTCTCTTCAATTCAACTTGGATGATTTTTGAGAGTAATGTATTAGCCTTCACCTGCAATGTGAGGTCCTGGCGGAGTATTTTCTTGATTCCTTCGATTTTTTGTGGACCTAAAATGATCTAATCGAGCTTATTCATCATTAGTGGCATTGATAATACCTGGTTTGAGAAAGAGCTGCCAAGTGGTAAGGGCCAATTTATCTTTATTTCTCAAATTTTGAGAGGTATAATCAGGAGTTTGATGTGCTCTTCAGATGAGTATACTCATGCAGCCATGCCTCAGCTAACATTGTGCACATCACGAGTGAATCCTGCAATAGGTGCTCTATGCATTGCTCTATCTCTTCATTAAATTTAGGGTTTGCCATTGCATAATCACTGCTTCCTTCTGGAGGTGTCTCTAGCCTATCCTCAAATCTTGCATACTTGGAAGTACATGGAAGGGGATGGTAGCCACAAACATAGCCAGCCATGGATAGAGGGCATTTTTTGTTGAGTGAACTGAAATGAACAAAACAAGCAGGACTCCTCCGGATCAGTAACATCAATCATGGTGATGCCATTATTGTTATTTATCAAGTGCTTTCCTATCAATGTCTAGCTGAGGCATCAAATGAGAAATTGATGTACAACCATCCTCATTGCCCATGCTAGCTTCTAGAAGATGCACCATTTGAAAATAAGCTGCCTTAGGATTCTCCAAACTGCTTCCAAAAGCAGATTTCAAGAGAAACATTGAATAAGTAGCTGGGAGGCCAAGTATCTTGGGTGCATGCTTGCCATGCATGTCATATTTCCTCACATATAATCAATGCACTCTGAGGTTGTTTGATGAGGTTTAGAAAACAAGATGTAGCCTTGAGTGAAAGTGTTCCAAAGTACCATTGATGGTGCAGAGCAATGATGCAGCAATATTTGGAACTCGTGCCACCTTTGGTGATAACACATGCAATCAAAAAGACCTGGTGTCTTTGACCCATGTTGATGGACAAAATGTTTCAAGGATGAGGACAATGAACAATAATAATCAGTGCAAGCTGAAAAAAGGAAGAAGCTCATGGTGTTTGAATTTTGACAAGGACACAAAAGTTGCTGCATTTTCCCAAATTGGGTGATTAACATCAAAGTAGTTCCAGACCTAAAAATGTACAGTAAAATAATCTAGGGATATTAAAATTTCTCATTATTAAGTACACATTGTAGGCCTCTTGAGATCAATTAGAATATATTCTAACTTCTAATATTGTTGAGAAATTAATTAATATAAGATTATGACAAGTTCTCTCAAATACACATTATATTATCATTACAGCTACTAACTCAGTGTTATAGGATTTTGATATACATATCTAGATGCTTATATTTTCCTCAAAACATTGGTTTTGATGCTTGGTGATCATGAATATTCAATGAGTTGAAGGGAGATGATGATTGTTACTCTTCTTACTATTTTTCTACATCTCCCATTCATAAGCTTTTATTCTGTGCCAGAACCAAGCAACACCCAAGCTGTTCTGAGGATGACCACCTGAGCAAATTAATTAAGTGAGACCTTCACCTGCCCTTTTCTCTATAATGACTTTCCTCCCATGCTGTTTCACTGCAGATATTGACAATTGTAAGTAATTGAGATGCATACTTGCCATCCACATTTCTGCAAACTAGTATATCACCAGAATGGATATGTAAGTGATTCAAACAATCATAAAGAGCACCCATGGAGCTAATCTGAGAAGTGATACAATCACTGCAATCCAAAGGTTTCATCAAATGTCTGAGGAAGCACCTATTTATGAGTGGTAGCACACAGTTGTCAGGGGACCATCTCGTTTCCCCCTGATTATATTCTCATTTTCACATATCATCTCCCCCTCATTTCATTTCCTGGTATTTATCCTATGAAATCCCAGTTATTGGATCAAGTATGGCAGCCTGCCTTGATGATGGATACTACCTTGGGGATCATATCCAGACCTAGATGTATTCCTATCCTCCATTCATTTGTTCCTGGCACTCCTCCTCAGTCATCTTCCTTATTGTTCTTGGATGATCTACTTCTATTGGATCCCTACTCTTTTAATTGTTTTTCCTATTCATCCTGGTGATGTTCAGTTATGTTTCTATCCTGTCATTTCTTTGCTTCTAGTCTCTCCTTCATTTTATTTATATTTTATTATCTCCTTCCTTTATATTTGAGGACACTATATTGCCATTATTCAATGATCTTTCCTGTGCTTCCTATCTTTCTCTATTTTCCTATATTTTCTCTCTTTTGACATTATTTGGTAGATAGTTGTCTTATGGGCATTATAGGTGCTATTGGTCAAGGAGCCTGGGAGTGTTGAGCTGAGTTTGAATCTGCTGGCATATGGAGATGTGGCCACCTGATAGGGGTTTCCTTAGACTTTTATCTTTGGCTTTCCTCTGTCAGGTGTGTGTCCTTTTGTATTTAGGTTATGGGCTGCTTATAGACTTTGGATTTCCACTGTCAGGTTCAGGTATGATGTCCATCTGAGGATAGGGTTGCCCTTACAACAGTCAGGTGTTGTTTTCGAGATAATACAATCTCCTATCCATAAACAGTGTGATTTTGAGACTATAGAATTTTTGTCTGAAGATTTAGGAATGTGAAGTTAATTAGCAAAGGCAGCTCAAATATTTCTCTAAGCCAGATTTACTGTAATTTATTTTTATGGAGTCTGCAAAAAGTCAGCTTGATACTCCATGTATTGAAGGCCTGTTCCCGTTTGTGGTTCATCCAGATGACATCAGGAGTCTAACAAGTCAAATTAGCACTTCTTTGTGTGGCCACAATGAGAAAATACTCACACTCTGCATAACCTGCAAGCATAGATTCAATCCAGTTCCACCCTGAATACCCCACCTAATATATCAAGAAGGTACATATCATCGCTCAATTCCCTTTGAGCTAATAGGTGATTTGATCGAAAGAGCTCCTCAGGAGATCCTGGCTGCCCCACCTGTCTTAAAGAAAAGGAGCCTGGCACTAGCCAAATGAGCTCCGCGGGAGCTCCTCAGGAGTTCCTCAGGCTATGTGGGCAGCACCTCCTCAGCACCTCGCCCCTCACAATGCTCCTCCCCACACTGGACCTTTGCCAGACATCCTGAGGAGCTCCTCGACAGTGTACAACTTCATTATTCATTTCAAGCAGCTCCTTGGGAGCTACTGAGGAGCCCACTTGCAATATCTGGATTTGTCAACAGTCACAGGAGGTCCTTCGTACATCCTATACATTTTTCCATGACACCTATTAGGTACATGGGAACCTAGCAATCGGCTCTGGCCTATTAGGCTTTCTGATCGGTGGACCTCCTCAGGAAGACTTCCCATATACACCATCTGAATGATAGTTAGCCAAATTAGCTTGAACAATCCACATCAGACACCTCATGAGCTCCTCTCACCACCAACTGAGCTCCTCCAAGACACCTTCCCCCTCGGTGTAATCCTCTGAAGATCCTTTCAGCCACTCACACTATGTGGACCTCCACAGGAGCTCCCCAGCCACCCATTTTGATGCTGGACTGTCTGTGGACCTCCTGAGGAACTCCCTGCTGCCATTACCGCACACCCGAGTACCAAAGGATCTCCCAGGAGCTCTGCTGCCACACTGGCATCCTCTGAGGTGGAGTCCGAACCAGCAGTGTTTCAGCAAGCTCCACAGTAGCTCCATTAAAAGTCCCACCCTCGTAAATTGTCAATGTCACAATCTATACTGTTATTAGTCATATAGCTGTTTGCTGATAGTTGGCCTATGAACT